ATTTGGAATGCTCGTATTAGCATCTTCCAAGGATATTTGCAAAGGTTTTTGGCGCTCCCTCATGAAAAAGAGATATCGCTGAAGTACATTGTTATAATGTTTCCATTTTTCTGAATCATCAGCGTATTTTTGGCGCATGATCAAATCCATTTCTGAATCGAGCGAACTCGACTGAGTTTGCGCCGTAGATGGCGTAGGGTTATTTAGCTTAGCCACACTCTCGTGAGGCACAAGAATCATTTTCTTAACATAATTCATTTGAACAGACTAGGAATCACGGATGCTACGGTGGAGAGAAGTAGAGGAAGAAATGAACCCCCTGTTTGTTCGAGGTGACTGCGCTTAATCAGCCAACCTTCTCCTTTTTGAGCTAGTTTCCTGATTTGATTGGCGTGTCGCCTGAGCTTGGTTTTATCTTTTTCACTCAGTGGAATATTTCCACTCAGCAAATTATCGCAAATTTCACAAATAGCGTAGATGATCGCTTTGTCTGATTCTTTTAGAATCGCTTTACGAAGATTAGCTTTAGCTGACTGGAGGACCTGAAGCACTGCTTTGTGCGTCTTTACGGCAGGAGCCATTGTCAACGAATGATTCAGAGTACAGCTTCCATCTCCCTTTTATACTTTGCCTTGGGAATGTAAACGACCGTGGACTCTCCAGGAAAAATGAGGGTGCGCATGCGCAATTGATCAGCCTGATTTGGCTTAAAATCGAATAGAATGTACGTGAACCCGGCCTTTGTGGCGTCATGATAAGCCTCTAGGAGGGCTCGAAAATGAGTAGGGTCTACTTGCATGCAAAATGTGCGTATCTGTGCCAAGTCTCGGCTTGTTTTAAACAAAACAATATAGTGTGTGTTCAAACTTATCTGTCGTAGGCCATCAGGAAAGAGACACTGACTTAGAAAATAAATGCTGAGGTTTCTGTGATGAGAACCCTTGATGAAAAATTTTAGGATTTCTTTCTGGTGTGACTTAATCTCATCCATAAAGTCATCAATGACAATTAGCTTAGGCCCTTGCCCCGAAGGATAGTCGTCCAGAACAGGGAGCTCTTGTCGAAAATCGACCTTGTCTTTTAGCTCGTCATAAAGTGGCTGCCACTCCGAATAACAGAAAATGGTGTGTTCAAATTTTGTGTTGAACATCTCATCTCTATTTTCAATCAGACGTTTTATGAAATAAGTTTTACCACTGCCCGTTCCACCTACCACGAGGGCGGTGCAAGGGTGTTGGAATCTCAGATCCATCATGAAGAATGATGACCAACACAATGTGGTTGTTTCTTTTATAGGGGCCTAACCAGCATCTCCCCTGCGCCGGTGGGGCCTGCCTGCCTCTCCCCTGCGCCTGCCGTGTGACTTAGGCGTCTCTTAGGTGGCCCATCACTTCGAGGAGGCCTTGGTCCTCCTCGTCGGCTTCCTCCCAAGCATTGTAGCCATGGGGTACTGTGTTGGCGGTGTCAACACGACGCCTCTTTGTATTCTTGGCCTGCCAAATTTTTTGTGGTAGGACGAGTGACTACCTTCCAAGTTGGAAGCCGGGCGATTTGGTGAGGAATGGGAATAGTGGTTTTTTCCCGGTCTCCCATAACCATCGCTTTAAGGGTGTCAAATGTCACCAACTGATCACATGACTTGTTGATTGAGATACCACGGACTTTGATGCAAACTTTGATGTTTGCGAGATCTCCACCTACAGCCACCTTGTAAGCATAGTTTTTGGGGCCCCCGGCCACAAACTCGGTGATGTAAGACCCAGGACCGAAGTCCTCTTCGATCTGGTCGGTCAAATCACCGAGATGTGTGCCGAGGGGCAGGTCAGGCTCATTAGGGCGACTGATGTAGGCCACCGAGTCCGTGTCGTGGTAAAGGGCCCTCTCCTTGACCATGTCCAGGTATTTGTAAAGTTGCAGCCGCCCATGGCAAGTTGTATATGCAGCATGGATCAGCGAGGAAGTCGGGAACGACTCCTCACTGTCCTCTACCGGCTGCCATGTCACCTGAAGACAGTCTTCACTTAGTGGAAGAAGCCCCGTGACAATTTTGCGAGGGTCAGTAATAAGCTCAAACAATTTTTCAGAGGTCAGAACAAGTTCGGTCTTGGGCCTCAAAGTTTTCTCCCCAAACTTTCCCCAAAACGAATTGCACATAAGCTTTGCCAAGGTCCGCAACGCAGGGTTCTTGACCATTTTGGAAGGGTCCAGGACCACGCCATCATTTTCTAGGGTGTCCTGAACGAACTTGGCCTTGAGCTCGTCTGTGGTACAGTCTACTGGCCAGCCGCTGGCCTGAATTTTCAGAGCCATGAAGCATCTGACGTAGCCAGAAAGCAGCCCGTCTTCTCTGGTTCGGGGATTATACTAAGAGGTCCCAGGGTACTGGTAGACCTCGTGCAAGTCTACCAGCTGGTACTCTTTCTCCCTCAGAGCAAGGAGCAGCTCAGGGGCACACCATGACCCTGTGAATTTCCGCTCTTCAGGGGCATGTTGGCAAATGTCCATACTCTCCGTCTCTGCGCAAGTGCGGCAGAGAGGGAACAAAAGTTTCCCATTGCACTTATAGGGCAGGACAGGCAAGTACAGGTCCCGTGGAGGGAGCACAGAGCACTTGACCATACCATTCTACAGGCTAGGGTCAGGCATCTGGGGATCATCTTCTAGATGGATGACAGGGTGACCTGTCGGGTACATTGCCCGAAGATTTGCGTTCGGGTACTCACAAATAACATCGACCAACTTGATCTTCTCCCCTGGTTTGGCTTGGTAGAACCATTTCAGGGCACTGGTTCGGCCGCCAGCTAGGCCGTCTCGGAGATTGAGAGGAGTGGCCCTAGTGGTCGGGTTATCTCTGAAGTACTCTTTGACCTCTGTGTCAGACTCAAGCTCCCTCTTGAACTGACACTCCCATTTCTCGACGACAGTGTAGCCATTGCGGCGAAACATTGCCGTGAGCCTAACTGTGCGCTCATATTTGCTCTCCTTTGAGTCAGAAGTGGCAGGAAAGTGCTCAGGGCACTCGTGCCAGTAGCACCCGTGGAACTGGTAGATACGCCGCTCCACCCCTCCATTAGGAAGAGGTAGCTCGACGTACCCATCCACAAGCCTTCCCATGACAGCCACTTCGCGGTCAGTGTGAATGGTTTTAATTTTATGACCCAGCTTAGCAGACTCATAGTCGAGCCACTGTAGGGCAATGTGACTCTGCTTGCCTCTACCATGGTAACCTCCTGGAGGTACGAGGCCAATTGTGTTGGCTGTCAAGAAGTTGCGGCGGAAGGCCGCCATGCATGCACTGCTGAGGGTGATACAGTGCTGCATTGGGTCAAACCCAGCAACATCCTGAAACAGTTTTCTGAATGCCTGACATGACTGACGGAGGATCGTTACATCAGATATGCAATATTCGATCAACTCACGCCTAAAGTTGAAGAGGTAATTGGAAGACACCTGGGTATCATACCAGGCATTGAAGTCGTCAGCTGCCTTCGACTTCATACTGGACACACAGTAGAGGTCCCTATCGAGCATAGGTCCCTCATACTGGTAATACTCTGGCTTATTTGCCAAGAAGGGCCAGTACCCTTTCTTGAGCTCGTTGAGCCCGAATGATTTGGGCATAGAGCTAAGTGGCATTGGAAGAAACATCAGGGAGTCTATGAACTTCCAGTTCCCCACTTTCATGCACAGTATTTTTGCCCCCTGAAGAGTGAGGTCGGGAGAGAGGCCGCGAGCCACCAACTCCTGGAGCACAAAAATGGCGTCAAATGCCTTTGCATTGTGTGCCACGAGCAGGACGTGGGCCTTTGGCCCAAAGGACTGAAGATAGTCCAGGAACTGCCCCATAACTTGTGCCGCAGGATCATCCAGGTTGTGGAATACCTGTTGCCGGGTATTGCAGACAGTGCAAAAGTGCTCATTGCCAGGCACATTGGCACAATTGTCGCATACGGCTTGTGACACAAGGAGGTTTGGCCTGTGTTCAAAGGTGTCCTCTTTACCGTCTACTGGGTCGCACTGAGTGGTCTCAATATCATAGAAGACCGTAACATACTTCCAACCCTTCTTTTTGTCTTTTTCCTGCCAGCTAGTCATGTAACAAAGGTGGTTCTCCTTTACATTCTCTCTGCAATTTTTACAGTAAACGAAGCCACAGACATGTTTCCCGGACTTCAGAGTGTTGTAGCTCTTTTCACATGTTGGGCAGAATCTAAAGACTTCACACTTGGTGAAGTCAGAATTCCGCATCTTAACTGCCTTATGATGCTGAAGGCAAGCATCGCCTGAAAACTGATGGCGACAGTCAGGGCATCGAACTAGAGGGACAGTGGGGTCATCGTGTACAACGCCGGCAAAGCAGCGCCAACATGAGCCCTCACATCGGTGGTCGTCCTTGTGGTTGTAAAAAACAACACATTTTTCACACTGAAAGTGTGTTTCAAATGCCTGGCAAGGGTACAATATGGCGGAGAAGTGTTCTTTGTGTAGAAGAAGGTACAAATTCTTACGGCCAGCACTGTAAGGCCCCTTGAACACGCACTCCTTGCCGTGTTTGTCTGTAAAGACACAGAGGCGATAATCAGGCAATATGTCTTGCATTCGCCTGACATCGTCCAGACCGCAAGCCTGGTCGTACCCAATGTGAGCACTGGCACACAATGTTTTGGCACCTTTTAGCTGTACGCCCGATACGGGTTTCTTAAGCCTGTTAAAGGTAGTGTAGGCCATACCCTCTCTGGACTTTGCTACAAAGATACTCCTTGCCAAGCACATGGAGTCCCTGGTATTGTCGGGCGAGAAAATGGTGCTTTTATCAACCATTCGTTCAAGCCATTGATCCATGGACTCGTTCGGAACACGACTTGTCCGATGACCTCCGGCTTTGGGGGTAGGGACATGAATAAAGCTAACTTTCAGCTGCCCGTTTGCCATAAAGGCCTGATTAGACTTTAGGACACGGCCTAGCTTATCGAGGACCACCTGTCCATTGAGTTGGTCAACCCTTCTCATACTGAACCACAAGGGATTATCAATGTTTTCAGCACTCTCTATTTCGAGGATGACCCTGTCATCGTCTTTTGCGTTGACAGCCTGTCTCTGTCTTTGCAACATAGTGTCGAAGAGAGAGACCACCAGGTCCTCCGACGGAAGAGTATCGGCAAGGCCCCTGACCATCACTACCTCCTCGCGGAACTTAGTGTTGAAGCGTTTTAGCTCCCGTTCCCGACTTTGGAGTACTTCTAGGGTAGGACCTTCCTCCTGTTCCTCCTCATCCTCTTCCCGAGATCGCTTGGCCGCCTGGGGTTGCGGAGAGGGTGAACGTGGTCGCGATGGACCAGCTGGAGGTGTGGGTGGACGTGGCGGCTCCGTGGGTGGTGTGACGGAGCGCGCCAGTATTGTGTGAGTTTGGGGTGTAGGAATGGGATCAGATGATCCTTGCCCCACCATAGCCAAAGCCATGCGGTAGGTGACTTGGGCATTTGGATCGGCATTCCCATGCACACGAGTGTGAGCAAGATGGCCTACAAGTAGAAAGGGCACGATCCTTGGATCGGCCCGATCTGCAGGCGATGCGTTAAGGAGAGCGAGGAGTATCTCCGTATACGCTTGAGAAAGATATTGGTCTGTATAATAACAGCCACCTTCCCACTCTGACAGAATTTCTCTTACAAGAGAAGACATGGCAATAGCTCAGAAGCAAGAGCTAAACCAGGGCTCACGAAGAGCAAAGACTTTAATAGCACGAAGGCTAAGAATAGCACGAAGGCTAAGAAGTAAGGCTCACAGAGAGCAAACACTTCAACAGCACGAAGGCTGAGAAGAACAACGAGAGACTGGACAATCAAAACTGGCGCTAACAGCAGCACAGCGAAAACGAAAGCAGAACTCCAAATTTCTTCTAACACCCACAGTCTATCACGCTACTGAATGGTAGAGAAAATTTGTCGCACAATGCAGTCAATGGTGACAAAGGAAGATTTTCAGCCCTAATGTCATTACTCTAGCGTGGCGGGTACCTACCGCGTACTAACTCCTGGTGCACAGCGCTGTGCGCGCTCTGGTGGCGGACATTGGAACTACTTCGGCGAGGTGCAACGTGATGCGTGCGGGGCGTGCCGGGGGTAGCGACGGGCAAGGAAACTAACGTAAAGTTAACAGTGCAGTGACCGGTGATGGGTTTGGCATATAATAGCGTGGGGTAGTGCCGGTGTTATTGGCTCGCGCGGCTGATATCGTTCCTCAAATGTATTAGGTACTCCACCCAATTAACTCGTCACAGTATGTGGCCCATCCTCAAGCGAGCAGGGCCAACCTCAATTCGGCGCTACTGAGTGCTGATCACTAGAACTTCACTCGTTGACGATAGGTGGCGCTAGTGTTCTTAGCTCTCGCGGCTGATATCGTACCGCAAAAGGTATGACGTACCCCACACGATCTTCTCACTTGACGGATTGCTCAATCCGGATTTTTAAAGTCTGACACCCAAGGGATGTCTCGCGGCCGTGGTGCGCATGGCGTTTTCCTTCACAACCCCCTAGCGGTCCCGGTGCGTGGACGGCTACCTCGTGGTGGGCCGGCGGCGGCCACGGCGGCCTCGATGCGCGGGCGGACTCCTCGGCGGCCGCCTTACCCGGGCGGAGGGCCCCGGGCCGGCAGCTACGCTAACCGGTGCGCGGGGCGCGCGGGACCCGGACGGACTCCTTGACGTCAACCCCGCGGGCGGACGCGTTCTAACCGGTGCGCGGGACCCGGGCGGACGGTGGGACCCAGGCGGCGACTACCTCGCGGGCGGGGCGGCGGCGGACTCGGTGCGCGGGCGGACTCCTCGACGGCCACCTCACCCGGGCGGTGGTTAGGCGCTATTTTGACCGGTGTCGGGCGACATGTTACAACCTGTTTCCAGGTTAGCGACACTTACGGCCTTAGGTTAGGCTAAGTACGGTGGCAACTTAGGTTAGGTTGTTGCGAGTCAAGAGCGGAAGAATGGGGGACATAAGTTGAGGTGAACGCCTGACAAGACCGGAAGAATGGGGCACCAAGATG